ACAATATTTTACCAGACTTGATAGAAACATAGGAAATAAAACGTATCAACGTGACTGTTATCGTCAAAACTATGATCTGATATGATAACATAACTCAGAACCGCTGAACCGTCAATAGCTCCACTGCTTCAGGAGCGGTCAGATAGAAGCTTAGATATAACGTCAAACCTAGACTGCGGTGCAGCGGCAACGAAATAGGTTCCTTTCTATTCCACTAAAGCAGTGGTCAACCGCAAGCTGTCACTGCCGTGGGCAGCCTCAGCGAAATAATATCTTTAGAGAGGCGAAAAGGAAAAATAATAATACTTTATTTATTCTGGGACGAGTCCCTTTAGAATAAGACAGAAATGTGGGCTAAGGAATATCAGAGATACATAAATAAAAATACAGAGTAATTGAATTAATAATTAGTCGCTAAGACTAATTAAAGTAATTAGTCTTAGTGGAAAAAATATATACATATAAAAGTTACTTCCTCACACTGACACTGTTCTTTATCTCGGATTATTATTCGACAGAAGGATGACCTGGGGCACACATGTCAAAACGAAACGAAAGATTTTGAACAAACGACTGAAAATACTATATTCCCTTTTTTCCAAATCAAAATTGAAAATCAGACAAAAACTAAATAAGTAAACTTCCTTACTCAAACCCAAACACCTCATAAATTTACGGTTCTGCAAAGAAGAAACACAAAAACTACAATCATTTCAATCCAAAATTTTAAGACTAATAACAGCAGCTCCCTGGTACGTAAACAACAAAACTTTATATACTGACTTAAAAAGAACCAGCTATCGACCGACATATATGTACTCTCTACTCTCGATTTCATCTTAAACTACATGGACACCACAACGGACTTATCAAAGACATGGCCACAGCTGAAATGCCCATTAGGAGACGACTAAATAGGAGCTGGATGAGAGATCTCCTTTCCTAAATTATGAAGTAGACCAAGACCAGAAGAGGTACTACTGGGTACCAATCTTCCTCATACCCTAAATGATGAGATCACTTCTGCTTACTGTCAATACAATGGCAGGTGTGGACAGAAGTATGGAAGAGAATAAAAAAAAAAATTGATCGGTTAATAATAATAAAATAAAATAAAATTAGGGTAAAATAATGAAGAACGAACTAATAATTTATATACATATTTGCAGTAGTAGCTATTTACAATTTTATTGGGACTGGATGGATAAGAAATTATTGATGGAGTTCCATAAGGATGAGGATCGGATAATGAACGATTTGTCGAAAGCAGCGGTTTGGTGGGCCGTTATGTATAAATCAGAAGAGCGGGAACGACTATTGCGGAAACGAACAGAGGATTTGAATTAAAGGAGCTCGGAGATGTATGCGGGACGGTGGGATTGGATGAGTTGAAAGAGGAAGAATGCCAGGAAATACTTACGACGGTAGAAAGGATAAAGCAACTTTAACTCCGAATAAAAATGGGAAACAGAGGCGTCCCTTGGGATCCCGAAGATGAATCGTACAAAGCGATTTATCTAACGTTTTAGTTTCGCCTCGAGATCCCCAGAGACGCCCCCACGTACCGAACAGCAATAGTTAAAGTGGGGAAAAATTAAGGCGGTGACTAGGAGCCTACGTCTTTGAAAAGGAAATAGGTGGCGGGAATAATTTAGGCGTTTTAGGGTTGATATATGGTTTTTCCACGAAAATGATTGATCAATGGTTATTACAAGATTTTTGATGGTTTGGTAAAATTTGATGGGTTTATTGTGTAGGAACAAAGTCGGAATATTAGGAACAGTTTTAAGGAGGTGATTGGAGTCTATTAAGATTGTCTTTGTCTTTTCCGCATTCAACATCAAGCTCTTAATAGACAAACAACATCATGCGCAGTCACAAATCCTATCCAAGTCTTCTTGGCTTGATAATAGCGTCGACAACCAAATTATAACGAGTTTTATTGAAGATATGGATTAAAATATCTCAGAAACTAAAAATCGGATCTGCATACTGTAAATGAGAGAAATTTTCAGCATTTCATCCTCTTTATAATGAGATATTATTTATAGTTTATATTTCATATTAATTATCTCACCTTGTTGATGTTGTTACTTATTTCGTGTTTTTTCGTGTCTAATGTTTTTTTTAATAGATATTTATCTTATTTTCCTTACGTAGACGAATGAATACTGTGTAATCGGAAAGATTTTTTTAAACATAATAAGTTATTATTACATTTCTGAGATTCTAAATGTCTCTCAGCTCCATGTTAACAGTGATACAATATCTGATTATCGTTGAATCCATTTATTATAATTAGTCGAATACTATTAGTAAAAGTCGAATATACTTCGGTATGGCGAAGGGGGGGGGGCCTACGGCCCTCTACTTCTCTCCCATTGAAAGTTTGAAAGTCTTTCAAATCTCTCCTCTTTGAGCACATATTCCATTCCCAATCCGATTGATCACGAAATGCTTGTAAGAGAACTCTCTAAAGTACCCCTAGTAGTAGTGGTATCTCTAAAGATACTGTTTTACTTATTTATTTTGTTCTTTCTTTTCCCTGTATTTTCACTTTATTATACCAAGCATTTTGTAAATATTTAATTTAAGTTATGGACAATGTGACATGTTTATTTATATTCAACATTTATTATTTTTTCTATAGACGCTAGTCTCTGAATAATAAAATTATTTTCATTTCATTTCAATAAGAATAGAGAGGGGGGCGAGAGTATCGTTTCGCTCCCTCAATATTTCCAAGAACAAAAATAAAATCCTTTATTTTATTATTAGATTTATCACATTTACCGCAGCCAATTTGAAGTATTTGTGAGTTCATATACTGCCTCAAGCCTTCAAATAAAAATAAATATATGTAATTTATTCAGTATAGTATTAAATTGTTAGTTTTACAATAATTTAGTTGTTTACATTAATTATCACTCATAATGTATATACATAATATAAACTCTCGAGATATTTTCAGGGGTCCATCGCCCTCACCAACCAAATTCATTGAATTTTATTTAGTAAATGATCAATTAGTAAACGATCCTTAAATCCAAAATCATGATTGTCCCTGTTTACCTTGCAATGAGTACCCATAATAAAATAAAACATCTGGTGCAGTGCGTGCATCACACAACTTTCAATTACCAACCTTAGAGTAGATATGTATTTTGTTATAAGAAGTCGAAGTGAAAACTGCGGTATCTTTTATTTTTTAAACATTATTTAAAAAAATTAATTACCCTGTTTTTCCCACCCATGGAATAAGTTAGATTTATACATTTTCATCACTTTCCATTTCCGTTAAGACTGTGTACACTATCAAAAAATACTAATGATTGTGGGAAAAATGGATCTTTTGGGGAAAAAAAACTAAGTTTTATCTTAAACATTTAACACGGAACTCGTCGAAAAAAAAACAACTTAACTTTAGTAAATATTGCTGATTATTTGATTTATATTTGTAAATCCTCAACATTTCACATTACAACTTTTTTTAAAAATCATAGATAAGTGATACTTACAAGTTAAACTAACAACATGAAAGCACTGTACAGAGAGATAACGGGTATCTGTAAAAGGAACAGGATCGGCAAAGGTCGGGCGCTCTCGGCCAAACAGCCGAGCTTCCTACATAGCTTATACCATATAGCTTACACTGTTATTTCCCCTTTCAATCAATTTTCTTCATTCACAATATTTAATATTTTTTTATTTCAGATTCAAATGTGAAATGGTTAATTCATTAAAAAAAAAATAAAAATAATGGTACTTTAGGGGAATATATATTTTTTTTAAATCGGCATTTAAGCCTTGTCGGGTAGCATCGATGAGAATAAAATCTACCTTAAATTAAAAACACTTAATAATACATTGACCATAGGAGTTTAATCAAAATCGTTGGAGCCGTTTTTGAGAAAATCGTAAAAATGTGTTAAATCCTTTATACAAAGTACCGCTTGAGGTTTGTTAATTTAAAAAAAAAAAGTTGCTGTAACTTCACAGGCACATACAAACCTTAAATACGCAATATCAGTTTCATAAGACTTTTAGTTTTTTGAGCTACGCTGTTTACACATACACTCATAATTTATTTATTTGGTAGTTCATACATATTTCATACATTTCAAAACCAAAAAAACTTTCATTGTTAGTAACGTTTTATCTTGGATATTGGAATCCAAGAAGCATAAAATAAACATACTATCATTAAGTTATAATATAGTGAGCATTGCATTTATATACAAATTTCAGCTGCGTCGATAAAAATATATAAATATATTCATATACATACATAAAATATACACTATATATAAATCAATTTTAAAAACTACGGAAGTAGTAAGCCAGTCACAATATAAATAATAAGTAAATAAAAAATAAATGTAAACAACAAAATAAATAAAATAAAATAAACAAATAGATAAATACAAAAAAAAAAAGCACTCGTAAAACGTAAATTATGGCAACAATAAAATCATTGATTATCGCATTATAATCGATGAAGCAGCCTGAACCAATTACTGTAGTTCATGTGAGAACCTTTAAGGACTCTCTTTGTAAGTGCGTTCATAGTTCTCTTAGGGATACCCAACATATCCATGTCTTGGAATGACGTGTATTTCCGCTTAAAATTCAGATTTGGAGATTTTCGCGATCGCAATAATTAACCTTACTATATATGACATAGGTAAGTGGAAGAAAAAAATTACGAACATAATAAAAATCTTTATTTATGCGAAACTCAAAAAGTATACGATTTATGATTGAGTATACACATGATGATATGAAATATTTCAAATTCTCTACAAAAAGATTTTTTAAAAAGTCATCGACATTGTCTTGATATAGATTGTACGTAGTAGTTTTAAGGGAGAAAACGGTTCTTTCGATCAAGTATATTTTTTGCATAAAATCACCACACTGCCTGCCTGGCTACAAATTGCAATCTAATGCAAACTTGTAGCTTCAAGTTGAAATATATTATAGTAGTTGTTGTTTTTCAGTTGATGTGCCAGGCGCTGCACGTACTCCTGCAGTACTTGATGGTGGCTAATTACCTTTGGATGTTCTGCGAAGGCCTCCACCTTCACCTCGCCCTCGTCGTGGTCTTCGTCAAGGACGACAACGCCATGCGCTGGTTCTACTTCATCGGCTGGTTCCTTCCCGCCATCCTGGCAGGGATATACGCCCTAGTCAGGTCTTCTTATCCGGAGGAGACCAGCCAGTGAGTATGATAGTAAAAACAGCTGTTTCGGTCTAATATTGAATTGCGATGTTGATAACGTAATATAATCTTATAATGATAGGTAGGAGTCGATTCAATCAGTGTTTACCACCATTCCAAATGACTGTTGCCAGATATCATGAGCAAGTATAAAAAAACATAAACAGCTGTACAGTCAACGTCTTGATGGTAGTTCCAATACAGGCAACTGAAAATTTCTGAATGGCCTTATTTATTTTTTATTTATAAATTTAAAATTTCGAATAATCCTATTGATTTCCCTTTGCTTGTTTATGATGTTTGGAATTATTTAGGTAAAAAAAACATTGTTATTACTTTTGTTGGTACATTTCTTCTCCACCCTTTGGTGTAATTGGTTCTACTCAGAAAAAACTACAATGGGCCCCGTCCGACTTCTGCTGTCCCTAATAAAAGGGAAGGATCGGAATGAGTTCAACCTTGTCCCGTTTATCTAACAAAAAAAAAAAGGAAAAAAAGCGTACCCTTCTCCTTAATAAACGGAGGCAGAAAAGAAAAATGAAAATACAAAACAATAATGGAAAAGATCCTCCAAAGAAAACATTTGAATGAACTTTCTGTAAACATTTTAATATTTTTTTATTATTTTTTAATATCTGATTGGCCTATTGAGTATTTCATATATAGAGAGATAAAAAACGTTTTTAAAAATCGTTAAATACTTCTTATAATCAGTTGTCTGAGAGTAATATTCAAAATTTTATAATCGTGCATAACCATTCAGGTACTATTTACAACTTATTAAAAACCGTTTGGGTTTAGAGTTGACATTACACGTTATATATGAATTATGTTAATTGATAAAAGAGACTTCTTGATCTTCTGTCGCACAATACTCCTTTATTATTTGGTAATTTTAATGTACATTAACGTTTTAGTCATCTGAAAAAAAAACAACGGTTTTTTATATATTTTGCTTAAAATATAACCTTTTACATAAATCTGCATTCATCATTCAAAAATTTTTAATACCTAATAATTACTTGTTTCCTCATTATGTCAATTATTTTTTATCAGAAAAATTTTATCTTGTCGAATAGATTAGAATAAATGGCCATTTATTTAAAAAAACACAAGCTATGTATAAGTCTTATGTACAAATAATTGTGTATATAAATAATTGTACATAAATATTTATGTATAAATTAACTATTCATAAATTAAATGCTTAGTGAACACTAAGGTTCGATACCAATTACACTAATTGGTGTTGCGTAACTCTATCCATTCAACATCAAAATCCAATGGGATACTTGCCTGGAAAATAAATTGCATAATTTTTTTTTATTGATGATATTTACAACTGTATTACTAGTAAAAATACATTCAGTAAATGTGAACAAAGGAATAAAAGAGCATGAAAACACTTGTTGAGAAACTACCCATTGGTAGCACTCTAAAAATGTATTTACAAAAGGAAATCTCGAGGCCATCTTCTTTTCAGACGCCTCTGAGGGTTGTCAGGGATCGAAGAGGAAGCAAGGTTAGAAACGAGAGGGTTTGGATGGTTCTGAAGTTTGTTATGGAAAGATAGGTATCTGGATTGGGCCAGGTCAGAAACATAAGGAACATTAAGGTCGTTATGGATGATTTTGTTTGTGACAAAGTAAGGAGCAGTGAGGATTTTACGAAGGATTTTGTATTGTAAGGATTGGATACGAGAGGAATTCGATGGCTTAGTGGAGCCCCAGTGCTCAACTCAGTAAGTCCAAATTGGTCTTATTGTAGTCATGTATATGAGTCTGTTGTAATTGACTGGGAGGTTAGAGCGTTTGTCGCATAAATTTGAAATAATGCGACAAATAATTACTATACTATACTACTATACTATATATATAATACTATACTATATATATAATAATATATATATATATATATATATATAATATATATATATATATATATATATATATATATATATATATATATATATGCACTTATAAAAGCTAATAAAATACAAGTTATGACTACATATATACTTGATGTGATATGTGGACGTTGTTTTAATGACAAAGCTTGCGGGATATATACGAGTATGTATATTATATTATACTTATATATGCAAAAAGTTACAATAAATGTATTGAGGTTAAGAAAAATGTTGTTTCAAGAACATTTGTTGCGACGTACAAAGTCTTTATTGGTATCGTTATTTTACTAGTTTTCAATACCAGTGATACAGTTATGAAAAAACATTTTTGTATTATCTCTTTTACTATATTTTTAATTTAAGGAGCGGGGTAGCTCAGTGGTAGGGCATTGAGCTTCCAATACAAGGGTCCCGAGTTCGAACCCCGGCTCATGGCAGAAAATTTATTTATCGGTCACATTGGCCGTGGGGCGACCTTGGGTCAGGAGGGACTCCTGGGGCACACCCATAAAGTGGGTACCCTCAATTAAGTAATTAATTAAGGGGGAAAACCTGGCGGTTGAGCGTGATCTCGGTCAAATCACCTCCTTGCACATGGAGATCACTTCACTCAGCATGTGGGTTGGGTATATCATGCTTTGAGTATTTCATGCTTCTTTTATGGACGATCGCCAAGTGTTAAAATCTTACATAAATTTCAGTGATTTTTCAATTCTTCTCAAAAGGATCTCGCAACTTGAACCTGTTTATTAACGTCCACTTCTGTTTAGTTGTGACATTCCACTAACTTCTGTTTTTATATTCTTTTTATTACTAATTTGATTTCTTTACTAGTTACTTAGTGCGTGGAATCCTTTAGTGTACTCGTTCATAACGAATCATCTGTTGCAGATGCTGGCTCAGCGAGAGCCACACACAGTGGATCCTGACAGTTCCTGTTCTGCTGTCGATGCTGGCCAGCCTGGGCTTCCTCATCAACGTGGTGCGGGTCCTCCTCACCAAACTCCACTGCAACTCGGCTAACCCCGCACCGATCGGTCTCCGGAAAGCTGTCCGGGCGGCCCTTATACTGGTTCCGCTCTTCGGCATCCATCACATTCTCATTCCCTTCCGACCGGAACCCAACGGTCCTGGCGAGAGGGTCTACCAAGTTTTCTCAGCGCTCCTCGTTTCATTACAGGTATGTATAAATTAATCTTTTATTCATAAGTACATATTTTCACATACGAGTATATCTCAGGCCATTGTTATAGTTTGTATTTCCCTACTTAGATCTCTCCTTTAGTTATTAATAATCATCCTATCACTTTCGAGTCCTTTGTTAAAAAACAAAACAAAGATATCAACTTATATAGTCAATAGCTACACTTAAGTTACTTAATCATTACCGATATGGTCTTTCACAACCTTACAGCATGCTCCTCTTATCCTCACTGACATTTCTCACGTTGACTACGGCATTATGGTATAATGTAGCCTCTTTATTCTTCGCGAGGACAGACTACTTATTAAGATTTGTCATCGGTACCTCGAGACGGTATGTCTATATGTCTCACCTGTATGGCGAATTAAAGTAGCTTTTTCTCTCCTTCCGCCGTGAATAGCGATAGAAAAACGATTAATTCCAAGCAACTTTCCTATGTCTACCGCCTCCTACAGTTCCAACCTTTAGTCCACTCAAAGGAAACAAGATCCGGCTTTTCTCACCTCTATACTCCCTAAAACTAAGACTTTCCAACATTCTTTTCTTGCTCCACCGCTTTCTAGAATTCTTCACCATCTAATATATGCCTTGCCTCATCCCTGTCATCATTCAACTATCTTATTTTCCAATACCTTCTCACATCTCAAAGAGACGCTCTGTAATCGTAAATCAGATTATACAAATCAAATTTTTATAAATAAATTATAGTTGTAGTTTATGTTTGAACATAAAAACCAATGCTTAGTATTAATTTATTTTTTATCTTTTTGCTTACTTATTTCTTATTTTATTCATTTTCTTCAGGTTTTACTTTTTCTTTTTTTAATTTCAATTATATTGAGTCCTGAGAAAATTTTATTTTTAGTTATTTATATATTTTTATTGGGGTGCGGGGTAGCTCAGTGGGTGAGCACTGACTTCCAGAGCTCAATTCCTGTGTTCAAATCCGGCTAATGACTAGTCATTTTTTACTAGCCGTGACTTGAGAGTTTCTCCTGGGGCACACCCAGCCTCTATAAAGTGGATACTCTTAATTATAAAAAAAAATAAGGGGAGGAACCTGGCGGTTGAGCGTGATATCCGCTCCATCACCTCTCTGCACAACCGTTGGCCTTGAAACAGTACTTCCTCACATTGTACTGCACCCAAGATCCTTCATGGGTTGTAGTGGTACAGGTTTTTTAAATATATTTTTATTAGAGTTACTGTATATATCGCTTCAATTTTTGTTAATATAGTAAAAACTATATTAACAAAAGCCCAGATATGTTTTTTGTTTGTTTGTGCATAAATACCGGTTATTCTTTAAGTAGCTTGTTTCAGAATATAGTTTATTTTCTAACTATCGTATATCTTTATTTCCAAGTCTATTGTAAGTGATGAATTTGTCGAAAATCGTTCAGTGCTCATCTTCTGATGTCTTATGATATCTAAAAAAAAAATGACAGAAACTGAAAGAATGACAAAGAAACAGCACTGATGTTACGTTACTGATGTTTGTAAGCAGCTCACACACGCTGACAAAGAGAGAAGGTTCAATTGAAAGAGCCACCTTTGTATGAAATCCAAAAGGCTACGAAGAACGTGACCGGCCTTAGCAATTCTCAAATAGGAAGGACTGTTGAAAGTGAAATTAATAAAAGCTGTGGATAACTGTTTCCTACGCAACATTTTCATTCTGCACGAACACTTCTTCGAAAATCTTTGTCTCAGTGTGATGTCAAAGAAAGGATTTATATTTCAGTTGGTACTTTTATCCACTCAATCTAGACAGAATTATAGAATTACACTTTTCTTTTGTTTATTCCTGGTATATTACAGTTTCTTTACGCTTGTTCTATTTGAACTCGGGACATTGAATACTTTGACTTTTATAACATAAATGGAATTAGAGAAAATATTTTATTCAAAATATTTCTGCCCTTCTACATACTCAGCAATAACACTTCGTTTTTAACAGCACCTGATACACAGCATCCTAATCAATCTCTTCTGCACATAACACTAACACATACAATATTTTATTACTATATTTTCCATTTTTGAAGTGAAAACTTCTTTCGGCGCGTTTTGCACAATTTTGTTGAGAGTGAAATAGATTGAGCCGTCAGATTTCCGATGTGTAACGCTCAGGTAAACTGGGCTGGAGTCGACGAAGTGTTTTTGCTTGGGAATTAAAATATCTAAAAATCGGACCTGCATACTCTAAGCGAGGGACTTCTGCATTTCATCGTCTCTGTAATGGGATATTATTCAAAATTGTATCTTAATGCGACGCCGCACAGTGAGACGAGTAAGAGAATACTCGTAACATCTATTTGAATCTGTCTAAATCTATTTTTATTTTTTTTATTTTTTAGAACTCCAAAATTTAGATAAACTGTTTTATTGATACCTTGTGTTGTTTGCGGATTTTCCGAGGACATTTTCAGTTGGCACAATATACATTTGTTACTGTTTTTATTGAATAATTCAATTGAAAAAAAAATTGATTTAACTGATATCACGAATTATTCCTTACTCGTTCCACTTTGCCCCGTGTTAGAGAGGCTTCAAGGAAAAAATTGTGTCCAAAACCAAACGATAACGAGTTTTATGGAAAATATGGATTAAAATATCTCAGAAGTTAAAAATCGGACCTGCATACTGTAAGCGAGGGAATTATTCAGCACTTTATCGTCTCTGGTAATGGGCTATTATTTAAAATTGTATCTTAACAGAACAACGCCGTGTTAGAGAGACGAAAAGGGAAAAAAATTGTCGAAAACGAAATTATAACGAGTTTTATGGAAGATATTGATTAAAACATCTCAGAAACTAACTATCGGACCTGCACACTATAAGCAAGAAAAATTTTCAGTGTTTCATTCTCTTTATTATGAGCTATCATTTATAATTCATATTTCATATTATTAATCTCGCCTTTTTGATGTTTTCGTTCTATCGTGTAGTCTAAAGCACACACCTTACCCATAGTTTTTTTTCTTTCTCCCTTTTCATTTCACTAATCTTACATCATAAATATTTGAGAGAAATTAATATAACAACATTTTTTTTTTTTTTTTTTTACTTTCGTTTTAATCTTCATCTGTCGACGACTGCTAACAAACAACAGATGGTCTGATTAAAGTAACGAAAACTGACATGTCCAGGCATAGGAAAGGATAGCACCCAGCAGTACCTCTTTCCTGGTTTTATGGTTTTAATCAATTACAATGGTTTGTTAAGGAAGGAGGTCTCTCATCCAGCGCCTTTTTTGTCTCCTCCTCGTATTGATGGGCATGTCAGCTGAAGCCACATCTCTGACTGTCGACTAATATGTCAGTATGTACTGATAAATTATTGTGAAATGACTTGTAAAGAGTTCTCATGTGTTGGTCAACTGTAGGCAGGAGGAAGTCGGTAGGTAAGGTTTTGTTTGTCACGTACCAAGGTGCTTTAGTTATAAGTCGTAATATATTTGATTGGGAAGTTTGTGTAAGTGGGTCTTTTTAGCTATACCGTATATTTGTGAGGAGTAAGTTCATAATGGTTTAAGTAAGTATAGTTATATATTTAGTTTCTGTCTCATTTCTAGGTTTGAAGATTTAGAAAAGGTGAGTAAAGTAGTTTGAGTCCTATATTGAGAGTCTTCCGTTTCATTTTGACATGTGGGTCCAAAACAATATGATCTCAAAAATAAAATACTTCAATAATAATCATAAATAAAATTATTTAGCGGTTCATATCAAGTTTGGTTTCCTCCTGCAGTGACGATTAAAATACTGTATTGGCAAAATCAAATTTGCTTTGTTTGACTAGTCTTAAAAGACAAAAAAATAATTTTTTTTTTTTGTCTATTAAATATGTATTTGCGCCTGTCAACAATAAGTTGACAATCAGCAAATGCGATGGCGATAATGATAAAATGACATGACAGGCATGGGGAAGGAAAGTACTCAGCAGTACCTCTTCTCTAACTTGTTCCAATTACTTAGGTTGTCTAAGGAAGGAGATCCCTCATCCAATGCCTTTTTAGTCTCCTGCTCATGTTCTGAGGTATGTCAGCTGTGGCCATGTCTCTTATAAGTCTGTTATTATGTCCATTTAAACAAAAAAAAAAAAAAAATAAATTACATACATAGATGATAATATTGTTCAGGAAAAAATAAATAAAAGCAACATTGATGAAATAAATAAATATCTATATAAACTTCATTGATGTTGCTTTTTTTTTCCAGACCTTTTTTATCATTTCATCTTTTGAAATTATTTTTGTAAAAAAAAATTGTTGTTAAAAGTATTCACTGTTAAGCAGATAATATAATTTCATAAATCAATAGAGCCCAAATATGCGGTGGGACCCCGTGTCAGTTATGCGGCAGCAGGGCTGACTGTTATTAAACGAAATTAGTTGCATTGGCATTCTTACCGATGTTAAACCTGACTCCCCTTCAATGCTAATTAAACTTTCCTTCTTAAGCCCTCAATTTTTTATCTTTTTTTACTCAATTCCCTTGGTAATATTAAAATTATCCTATTATGATCACTGCAGCCGTAAATTACGAAATTGATTTTATTTATAATTGGTAATTGGTTGACTGTCGTGGATAATGAAGAGAAGAATAGTTGGGGTGCTCAGTCAAAAAGGAGGGCAAAAAATAAATTATAATATTTATTTCTTACATATGCCGACGTTTCGACCTGAAGTTCAGGCCTTCATCAGGGCTAAGAAAATAACCAGATAACAAGGTATGAGAAACATAAGTAATGATGGTAAAAAAGATAATAAAAAATGAGAAAATAAAATAAAAAAAAATTATTAGAAAAATAAAATAGATAGATATAAGGTAAAATGAAATTGTTAGAATAATGACTAAGAACTAAGAGATAAACAATAAAAACCGTTACATAGTGTGGAATGATGAAGTAGGCGTAATCAAAAAGGGGTGACAAAAGTGTTACATTGGGAATCTTAGAATAAAATGTAAAAACATAAAAAAGAAATATAAAGTTATATAAGAAATGAAAAGAAAATAAATAGTAAAATTATGTTTTAATTTTTTCAATGTTTTAATTTTACTATTTATTTTATTTTCATTTCTTATATAACTTTATATTTCTTTTTTATGTTTTTACATTTTATTCTAAGATTCCCAATGTAACACTTTTGTCACCCCTTTTTGATTATGCCTACTTCATCATTCCACACTATGTAACGGTTTTTATTGTTTATCTCTTAGTTCTTAGTCATTATTCTAACGATTTTATTTATAAATTTAAGTGTC